TCCTCTCCGAACTGTAGTTTGTTCAGTCGTTTCTTCATTATCTACCTCCTCATTCCCTGCATAGTTCAGATCCTTTAGATTAAAATTGCCTGGTTTCCTCTTAAGTCTCATGTCCGTTCATTGCTCCTTTCCAACACGTTCCCGTCATTCCCCGGTGTGCACATTTGGCCTCTGCCGCACCGTGTGGAAGTCGGCTGGAGTCCTCGGCACCCTCGGCCCTTCGCGTCCACACCCCGTTAGCAGGGCGTTGCACACCGCTGACCTTGCTTTCCCTGCGTTCTGAGCGCCCCCTCCCTCCTAGATGGCCTTCATTCCTTTTCCTTCTTGTACCTAAAGGCCAGTCCTTAACACCTTCCTCTCTTGACAGGTGGTTCTCACGCTTCAGACCAGCTGTGGGCCACATGGTGGGGAGGGCAGCTCTTGCTAAAAACGCAGGTCGCTGGGCACTCCCCCAGACATGTTGATTCCGTGGCCCTGGAATAAAGCCCTGACATCTACAGGGTCTGCTGATTCCCATCCAGGTGGCCCGTGGACCATGCTCTGAGAAACTGCTCACCCTTAAGGGGCGCCACTCTTCCCTACTCCACCTGCCCCTCAGAGCTGAAGCCCTGGGATACCCCCAGACCCTGAGCCTGCATCTGTTCCTCGCTGCTGTCTTCCGCCCACCCTGCCACAGGTCGCCACGTCCACTCCTGCCCCTTCCTTGCCATTAGCCCAGCAATCATCTCATGGCCTCCATGAGGGCTCAGTCCCTGACAAGTCAGTGCCCTTTCAGCTGTCTCTCCCTCCTGGACTCCAGCACTGCTAGATTCATCTCCCAGAAACACGTGTCTGTCATCCCCTTTCTGCTCAGCGCCCTTCAGTGGCTCTCTGCCAGAGCATCAAGTTCAGACCTCCCGAGCTGGGGACCCTTGGCTATTGCCTCCCGGCCATACTTGACCACCCACTTGTGTAGCCCTACCCACACGCTCCCTGCAGCCATTCACGTGTTCTTGGTTGCCTGTGGGCTCCTGCCTCCGTGTGTACCTCTTCTGCTAGAAACACCCCTTCTCCCAAATGGCTACCCCCTTCAGAGACCCAGCCCTGGGGCCACTGTACCCTGGCCCGTGGTGTTCTGTGACCCCTGCGGCTGACGTGTACCGTGTCACCTCCCGTTCTAGACTGTGAGCTCCTTGCGGGCAGGCACCGTATGTGTTCACTCTTTGTATTTTTCATGGCACCTAGTACAGTGCCTTGCACTTAGGTGCCCAATAAATGTCTGCTCAACTGAACCGAGGACAGTGCCTTCTTGACCGCGGCATCTGGCAAGCCAGCAAGACCTTGAGAAGCCAGATTTTCAGCAGTGGTGCCAGGAACCCCCTGCTCTGCTGCGGTAGATCTTGCGGGTTCCAGGCTGCATCGCGCCTTCTGGTCCAGGGGTGGGTACCAGGCAGGCTGAGCCAAGCAGGGGGCTGGGACTTCTTGCCCACAAGTTGGCCAGGGGCAGACCTGTCCCAAGCGAGNGCCTGTCTGCCCAAAGGGGGTGCCTTTTTCTGAGGCCTGTCAGCCAGGGCCCCGCACAGAGCTGGAGTCCCCAGAGAGCAGGCCCGTTGCCCATGCTCTTGAAAGCTCCCTGGTGACGGTGGTGCAGAGCCAGACAGCCGGAGGGGGCCGGGCCTCCTAGCGGCAGGCCGGGGAGGGGAGTGGTTCATGAAGAGCTGTCATTCCCGGTCCTGACGAGTGTGGAGGTGGTGTCAGCGACATCACCACTGGACCGCACTCCTACATCCTGCTTTCGGATGCCAAGCGTCTGGGCCTTGCGGTCAGCCGCAGGTAGTCTCCAGGTCTGTTGTCTGTCTTATAACCAGCTCACCAGGACTCACTTCCCTTCACAGAGACATGCAGCCCCTCCTCAACGCCCTGCCCAGCGTGGGCATGTTTGACCCCAGCTTCAGGGGCCCTGGCGCCCAGGCAGCCAGCACCAGCCTCCAGCCTCCGGCCCGGGTGCAGGGCCCCCCACCCAGCCACTGGCTTCCTCAGCAGCCCCGCTTTCCGCTTCTGCCCAACCTGCCCAATACCCAGCAGAACCTGCCCATGCCGGCCCAGAGATCGCCGGCCGAGACCAGCGAGCTGAGGGAAGCGCTCCTGAAGATCTTCCCTGACTCAGAGCAGAGACTGAAAATCGACCAGATCCTGGGCGCCCATCCCTACATGAAAGACCTGAACGCGCTCTCCGCCATGGTGTTGGATTGACGGCGCTGAGCTCAGGGGCAGGGTCCGCGTGACGGCGGGGGCGACAAAATGTGAAGAAACCCACTTCCCAGTGGAGATGCTATTGTATATAGAAAAGACAAACAGATGTTTTGTGTATAAAAATCTGGGTTTTCAAATCCAGCTTTTTTTCTATATATAAATTAATGCTGCTATTACAGATTGAACATTTTCTGTCAAAGGAAAGTACATTTTTCTGCCTGTTCAGAACTGTTTAATAGCAGTTACTCTTACGTGTATTTACATTTTTATGTTTTTTAAACTATTTTCCTTAAAGCTGAAAATATTGACAAATGGATATGATTAGCCTTTCTAAATAAAAAGAAAAAGAGTTGCTTTCATAGGGAAAGCAAGACCTCTTAAAGTATATTTTCTTGAGATGACTATTGTCACACCCACTAACATGAAGTATGTGCACCCCTCCCCCACCCAGCCTCCTCTGCCCTCAGCCCTGGAATTAGTAGGAGTTGGGTTTGCTCCTGTGGGGTCTTTGTCTTTGGAGCCATTTGTGAGAGTGGACAAGGGGTGCCACTAGATGGCACCTTGTACCTAGCCATCATTAATGCCCAGGGCAAAGTTAGACTCCAGACCAGCAGGGCTGCAAAAACTTCAGCGCTCACGCAGCAGCTCCTCCCCTCCCACCCGCAGCTGGGGACTGTGCCGTGCGGGGCCCAGACTCCTTGTCCAGCGCTCCGACACGCTCGCCAGGCTGAGGCCTCACCATTCCTGACTTGACTCGAGAAGTCACACCTTCCTCTAAAGATGATAGTGGGGTTGAGGGAGTTGAATGAACAGCCCCGCTGTTATGGTCATTTTATGTCCACAACCGTGGGAAATGCCCCATGTGAAGTTCGTGCAGCTTTGCCAAAAAATGGTTTTCTATTTTCACAATGACCCAAGCCAATAAATAGCATTAGCAGCTTCCGTGGGGGCCCAGGGCCCTGTACTTTTTTTCCCGTGTTTGTCTCTAGTGTCCGCCCAAGCTGCCCTCCCTGTGAGCCTTTCAAAAATGGATATCTTAGTGTTGTGTTTTCAGTGTTGCCCGAATTTGTGTCAGTGAAGTTCTTTTCTTGGGCAATTAATTCTTAACATCTTTACTGTTCTCTGGACCTTCAAAGGGCTTCGTATTTTATACCCGTTCTCTCCCCAGGCTGCTCTCGGTCAGCTTTATGCCTGCCCTGAGAATCCCGCCCCTCCTGGCCCAGAAACCACCGCGGAGGGCTGGTTTACGCTTTCCAGTGAGGGGACGTTGTTGGCTGTTGAGCAGAGCGGGGTGGCTTCTGTAGGCGAGTTTGGTCCCTGCATCCCCCAGGGGTGAACCCAGAGTCCCCCAGGTGGCGAGCCTTCTACTCCACCATGTTTTCTCGTGGCTCCTTCAAGATGCATCCTGATGTGCAACTGGTTGTCAACTGTCACTTTGGGGTAGGTTGCCCGAGTCACCCAGCTGTAGACATGGAGGTAGAAGACTTCCATGAGGTGGGCCAGGAAGTGACGTCAGTCACAGCCTGTGCCTGGGCTTCAGAGCTGGTGGTATTGAAAAGCACAGCGGACTTGGCGAGGGCTAGGGTTGTGTCACAGGGACTCNCATTCAAGGCATCTCAGAATTTTTCTCTTGTCAGACACATTTATTCAAAAATTAAATCTTTGTTGAGCACCTATTGTGTCCTAAGCTGAGTCTGAGTCTGGGTTGTTTAAGTTATATGAAAAGTCCTGTTAAGAGAAGAACTGCTTCCCAAGCCCAGCTAAAACTCTGGCAGCCCTGAGAAGACATGTGGCAGCCAACTGGTAAAAGTCTCTTACTCTGCCCTATCTGTGTCCAAAGGGGAAATTCAAATGGTTGAATTTGGGTGTGTTTTTTGCCCTTTAGGCAATTAAGCAGCGTTACAATTTTATGGGCGACTGTGGCTTTGGAACTGGATGGCCGCTCTGAGAGGCTCCTCTCGGGTCTGCAGCCGTCAGAACTTGGCATTTCTTCCAACGCCGGCCTCACTCTCTTGTAGGTTGCTGCAGTACACCTTCGTGGGGGACATATTTATGGTTCCTGACGACCCTCTGGGAAGAAGTGGACCTCGACTAGAAGAATTTCTTCGGAAGGAAGTCTTCCTTAGGTATTTCCTTTTTTAGCTTATCTTGTGTTTACAAGTTTGTTTCAGTTAAGTTCTTTGTGCTTCAGTGCAAGTGCTGTCTCTGAAGACTAAATATGGCTTTTTATTTTTTTTTAAAAAATAACTTAGCTTTAGTGCTGGGGTCATATATGTGGAAGCGAATCAAGCACGCACCCCAAAAGACCAAGTCTTCGCCTGTGGTCTGTTTGGTTTTCCTAGGTAGCAGGGGATGGGGAGCCAGACTTTTTCTGGGGGTCTAAAAATAAAAAGAAGCCAGTGTTGCTGGTGGCGCTCACTGGCGAATGCCACGTTGTGTTGCATGAGTCCCTTTTTACATTCATTTCCGAAGCCGTGGGCTTCGACTGTCTCTGACTGCATTGTGCTTATAGGAATGTGTTTCCTCGTCAGGAGCCACTGCCTGGGGAGCTCGCCATAGCCGTCTACCTCCACTGAGGCCAGAAGCCAGTGTTCTGTGTTTATCTGAAATTGATTGGCCCTTTAGGTTTTCTTGGTTGTAATTTGGGTGCTTTTTTTNAGAGGCCATTTCCTGCCATGGGGTCCATGGTAGGAGAGAAGCAGAAGCATGACAGTGGTATCCCTGGTGGCATGTGTTCCAGGTTCCCGTTGTCATGGAAGCCTTATCACACCCATGCCCTTCCTCACATGTGTGGTCCCTATTCTAGCACACTTCCCTTTCTGCTGAAGCTGGCTCAGGTTGCGTGTAACACCCCTTGCAGTCAAGGCAGAAATCTGTATGACTGTCCTTAGACTTGCAGATTTGATGGGGAACGCGGCTCATATCTGCAGACAGATCCCAAAGGTGTGTGCGAACAACTTTGGAGTGTTCACCCCACCCAGTCAGAAAATGGTGTAAGAGCCCAACAGCTTCTGAGTAACTACCTTTTCCCTTCCGTCCACCTGGGGAGGGCTCCAGCCCACCCTTAGGCAAGCCCTTTCCTTCTCAGCATCCCCACTTCCTCTCGATGTTGTCTTTTAAATTCCCTAATGTGAATTTCTTAGCTCAGTTTCCTAGCCAGGCAGAGACCAGGCCTAACCATTTGGAGTTAGCCCTTCCGTGGCCTCACCTGTGAAACAGGTAGGATGGACTAATAATATTGGGTTGTCGGAAACGTCATGACGCATGTTCGTGACAGATGTCACTAGTTCATTTTTGGAAGTACTAGAGTCATTCACATCTATGTTATTGCTGTCATTCGACAGCTGACAGTTCTAGCTTCATTCTAAAAAAAAATTAAGCGATTTGTTTGAGTTTGGGAGATTTTACAACAAGTTGAAAATGGAAGACCAAACTCTGCATTTTTCCCATATTTTACTGTTTTACTTCCATAAAGGAAAGAACGTGCATCAAGCTTGTGAAAAGTTGCTTAAAGTTTACGGTGACAATGCTCTACAAGAACGTCAGTGCCAACGATGGTTCACAAAATTCCGTGCTGGTGATTTTGATCTCAACGACGGTCCTTGGTCAGGGAGGCCCACCGAGGTTGATGACAACAAAATAAAGGCATTGATGGAGTCCAACCCACGTTACACAACATGAGAGATTGCAGAAACATTGACCATCCATCATTCAAGTGTTCACAACCACCTGAAAAAGCTGGGATACATAAGTAAGCTCGATATTTGGGTTCCGCATGAATTCAAAGAAGTTCATTTGACCGCATGTATAAACATCTGCAATATGCTCACTGAGGAAAAAGATCCTTTT